GCAAGCAGAGCACCATTTCCAACACGAGCTATTACAGAAGTGTGGTGCAAATACAACTACCTATTAAGCTTATCAAAATACCCATCGGATTTTAGTTTTATTAGAAAGCTAAAATCCACTCCAACAGAAACCACAGACACAGCTGTGTCAAAACAGCTGCTTTCAGCCCATTGAGGCAAGCTTATTTTTCCCTTTTCTCTAAACCGTGTCCTAAGCACATTGAAACCTTGCAAACAACTTTGGAGGAGCAAAGAAAGGAACATGCAGTTCATGTGCCATTAAAAAAACCAAAACACAATGGTACTCAGAGCTAGGAATGTAAAATATTTGCAAAACAACACAAAGGCAAATTATCCAAACAGCCCACATTAACGGGAAAACCTAGGAGCAGAATTAAAGCCACCACACCAGCAAAATTGTCCTCAACAGTTCAGCTGCCACCAAGGACCACAAACCCCAAGGCTGATGACACCTGGTAAATGAGTTTCCCTGCCCCAGATACCTCTCAGTAGCCCATGCTGAGATCAAGAAAGGAAAAAGCAACGTGCCTGTGTTCAAAGACATACAGCTGCAGTCGAAGGCAATTTTTGGTTTGTAGATAAGCTGCCTGGCCAGTTATTAACAGTTGTTTATAAAGGACACTGACTTCATCTACCTCCACGCAGAAAATGTTTTATCATTCTGAGCAAGTGCGAAGTCTTGTGCACTAACCAGGGTTTGTTGGTCTGAGTACCATTGCCCATGGCTCTGGAGCTGCCCAAAAGCATCCATGCTCTTGCTGCTGCAGATTCTTGCTCAGTGTAGGTGCTAAGGAAGGCATTTCTGGTTATTTATTCTTTAAAACTGGTAAAGCACAGCAGAGCATACCGTTTATGACCTGCTGGGAGTTATTCCCCCAGGCAGAGCAGGAACAAGGGCAGAGCTTGTATATTTAAAGGCATTTGAGTTACATTACTGTTAAACATGCTAAATATTTCACTAGGCTGAAAGCTGACAATATTTTACAAGGACAGGCTTTGCTGGACATCTAACTCCTGGGTAGAAATCCTGTATATTTCCTTTATTTTAGTGCATAAAACACCACTTAATTTATTGACGGAAATACAAAGACCTACAATAAGCTTTTAAACAGAGCACAGCAAATAAAAGCAAACAAGCAAACACAAGATACCCCGGGTGAATCCCTAAGGCACTAAAGAGGAAGGAAGGACTCCCTCCAATCCAAGCTCAATAAAAGGGGGAGAAGGACAACAAAGGGTGATCCCAGGGTGGGCTGCTGGGGCTGAGTGATGGTGGGGGACCAAAGCTCTCTTGGCATCACTGCACCCCTTGAGGCTTGCACTGCTCCCTGAGCACCCCAGTCCTTCTCACTTTTGCTTGTGCAGCTGGAAGAGAAGAGCATCACCCAGCACAGACATTACTCAAAGGGTCTGCAATAGGAAAAGGTGCATTTTTAACATCTACTCACCAAACACACTTAAAATGTGCCTTCCCTCACCACTGATGTCACTTAACAGGGCTGTGTTTCAGCCCAAAGAGCTTGAATTGGTTTTCCACATCCTGAAAAACAAAATTAGGAAAGGAGGAAACCTTCCTTCCAGCCTGTGTTAGGCTGCAGAGGAGAGAAAGAGAAAAAGTGTCCCCAAGGTAGGAGTCATGGCTTACATCAAAGGCTTCTGAGCAAGAGGAAAAACAAAGCAGCATCCTTCATCTCTGCGTGCTCTTTGGAAAATTTACTCTGCAGTTATTAGCCTCTGTTCCAATCCAACAGTATCAGGACTGGGAGAGATATTTTTTTACGATCTCAATCACACACTTCGGAATCAATAAAGGCCCCTGCGCTCCCAAAATCCTGAATACGCCATCCAAGTTCAAGAGTTGGGACCCTTGGGGGAGGATAATATCAATATTAACAGCAGCAAAGAGAAAACTCCTGCAAAAGATATATTCTTGCTAATTAACAGGCCAAACAGGGAGACTAGAGAAGGAGATAAGACCTTAATGTTTCTCCCCTCCTTAGAGCCGACAAAGGTTTAACAGTCAGCCTAGAAAATCACCAGCTTTAAAACAGGCTAATTAGCTCCAAAAGCCCAGCATCTCCACGACAGTGAGAAGCACAAAGAAACCACAGACCTGTAATCGGGACCCTGCTTGGTGCCCATCCAGAAAGGCTTTGCCTCTGCTTTCCATAACAGAGGAACTCCAGAAAGGCTTTGGATCCCGTGCTGGGGTCTCCATGCAGCCTTACTGAAAACCTGAAAATAAACGGCGTTACTTGATTATCAGCAGCGTCATTTTCGGTTTTTATGAACTCACGGTAGCAGATTTTCACCGCATCCATCAGCCAGTGCCATAATAGGAGCTCAAACAGCTCCTACTCACCTTTTGATGTGCAAAAAGACTTGGGACCCCAGGCTGAGGCGTTAATTCGAAATGAGCAACACCGAGGGCTAAACTTGGTATTTCTGGAGCCTCCTGAAAATACAAAATTAAAGGGTAAGAATGAAAACATGAAATGCACTTTTTAAATTTTTTTTCTTTTTTTTTTTTTAAGAAATGAAAGCAGCGCCGCAGTTCGCCAAGCCCTAGGGGTCTGAATCAAGTACCCAAGCAGCAACTAAAGCTAAAAAATAATACAACCACTGTTTCTATATTGATCAACGGTAAATTAGGGGAAAAAAAATCCCGAGTTTTTATTAGCGCCTCTGAAAGCTAGAGGCGCGGGAGAAGCCGGCGGGACCGCCCGGCTCTGCCCGCTGCGCTCTCCCCGCCAGCCGCCCCCAACACCGGGCCGGACCCCGCGGAGGCCCCGGGACCCCCCAGCCCCGCGGCACTCACCGCCGCGAGCCCGCCAAAGCAGCGTCACGCCAACATGAATATTCATGAGAGCCGCCTTTAGGCCACGCCCCTGGGCCGGGAGCACCTCCCCTTGGCGGGAGGGGCTACGGAGGGGCGGGGCTGGGCTAGCGGACAAGAGAAGCAGTAAGAAAAACAGCAAGAAAGGGAAAAACACGCTCTAGCACCCAAAATCGTTTTCATCCCCCCCGGCCCCGCTCCACCGCAGGAGCGGCCGCCGCTGCCCAGGAAGGTGCAAGCACGGGTGTTCTCAGACATTTCGACAGAGAATTAAATTTAGTTCCAGCAGATCACGCTTTTGGGAGCAGCCTACCCATCCTGTGGGCATCAGCTACGGCTCAGCAGGTGCTGGTTTGCTGCCTTCGCCAGGGTACCTGGGTTGGTGCTGGGGGGGGTCAGGCTCACCCTGGTCTCACCCTGGCACCGGGCGTGCATGACTGTGCGATGCCAGGGATAAAGGTGGGTCTAATGCAGCTCCAGCAGCTCTGCAAATATTGGATAGCCAGTGTAGTGTGTGCTTTCTTATTTTTGACAGCCCCGCTGCAGTGCAAAAATACAAGGAAAATAAAGAAGGCTTTAGAGCCTGAACTTGTTTGCTAGCCCTTTCCATAAAAAAACCAAAACCCAAACATCAAAACAAAAACAAATCCACCTTTAGAAACCCAGGTAATATTTTGAAGTTCCAGCCCCATTTCAAAACACAGGATAGAGCAGGGCTCTGGAAAGAAAAAGCCAGGACAGCGCTGACGGGAAGAATTAGCTGGGGAATCTGCAAGGTCAAGTAATTCCCATCTGCCCAGGCAAGAGAAAATTACAAGCCTGCTCCCCAGAAGAAAACACTGCCTGCTGCCCCAGGTGGGTGCCTAGCTTCCCCCTCTAAATCAGTTTTGCTACAAGGGATGATGGCAGCAGCAGAGGGAACAAGCCAGCTGCCTGGCACCAGGTAAGATGGCAAGCCAGAATAAAACAAGTTTATTTTCTATTCAGACACAAGTTTTTCTTTTTCACATGTCTGGCTAGTCAACAGTGCAGCATTTTGTGTCTTCTGATTTGCAAAGACTTCCTCAGTTACAGAATACTAAAAACAAATACAGCTGATGAAATAGGGGTCGACTGGGTGTGTGTAAAGTAGCCTCTTTCTTTCAAGATGGCCTCTCGGCAGTTTCACTTGATGTTCCTTTAAGACTGACATATTTGGAGAAATGCTGCTGAGCATTTGTGGTTTTATAGACCTTAAACTCTTTTGCAGCTCAGCTCTCTCTCCCCAGCTAAGAATCCTCACCCACAAAGTCATTCCTCATAGAGAAGCTGGCCTCCCATCCCTCTCTGTGCCTAGTCTAATTCTACCACAGTTTTTTTTCCTCTGAGCACCTAACTGTAGCAAGAGTAACACTGACTTACTGACTGTTTCACACTGTGGTTACATGAACAGTAACTCCCTTCTGGCCAAACTTTACTTCCTTCCCACAAAGCTGAAGCCTTGGGCTGGTGGTTGTGTAAACATCCTAAGGGGAATAGGTAGCGCCTGTGAACACATCAACAGATCTGGTCAAGTTGCTGCCTCCAGCCCTCATCTCCCAAATTAAATACCTTTTTATTTTCTACCTCTCTTGTTTTTCTACAGGTTTATTGGCAAAGATGAGATGCAAGAGGAATGTCAATCCACACAGGCCAGCATAAGCTTATTTGATAAAGGACAAGTGTTGTGGACCTGGGGAGGGGGAGCAAAGAGGGAGATAGCAACAGGTCTAGAGACAAATACCAATCACCAACAAGGGCTTTAAGCAACTGCAAAAAGCAGGCTCTTATGGCAATTGCAACTCAGATAAACTGTGATATCACTGCAGGAAAGCTTTCTTCAGTCAGCCCTGCAGCTTCCTGCAAAGCTTTTACTGAAATTGGAGGCATAAGCTAGAGTGTCCACCAGCCCACTCGTCCTCTTGTGAGGGAATTCAGGGTGCCCTCCTCATTGTGCACTGTGGCTGAAAATTCACCAGCAGACACCTGTAGGAGCTGAATGCCCTCCTTCACCAGACAGACAGCAGAGGATGCTGCCCTGCCCGGGGCAACTCGCATGGTCCCAAACCTTGGGAGGACAGGAGCCAAAAAGATATGAGCATTAAACAGACAAACAACAGGTCAGGTAAGAAAAATACTGCCTCTTCATTTAATGTTTAAGGACATCAGTAAACAAATAGAACAGTACAGACAGTCAGAGGCTAAACCCCTCCCAAACAGCACACTCCAAACCACAACAGGTACCAGGTGATGACTTGGGAGAAGGAGCAGCAAAGTCTGGGATTTAATGGATGGCCAAGAGAAATCTCTGCTGTGTGAGGGCAAGACAACAGGACTTGGAGGAAGCAGCTTCCCTCACCCATGAGCAGAGCAGCATCTCCTGGGTACAGTCAAGAGGGAATGGTTTCCACTCCAAGCAAGCAGCTCTAAATCTCTTGCTAACACGCAGAAGGGCCATGTGTGAACTTGGAAAACACAGCTGGAAGCTACATTAGAGGTGCAAGACACACTATGTACTGACCTTGGCAGCCAAACCTCTGTTCCACAGTGATTTTAGCCTCTTGGAAAATAAAGAAAACAGGGAAGTTAGGTCCAACTCGGCAAAGTGTTGCAGTACTCATTTGTGAACGTGAAACTGAGTATGGGGGGCGGGGAATGAAGAAGACTGTGCTCTGCATACATTCGTCTATCCTGCTCCATCAAGCTGCTCCCTGCTCCAGGGACACTCCTGATCCCTATCCCACCACTGGCCTTGTCTCCTTGAATAGTCTTCCTTGAGCTGTGGAGCATCAGATGGTTAGGAGGGACGTGAGGAAGCAACTCTCAGTGCAGGCTTCAGAGGACAGTTGACTGGGTACCTGAGCACAGGGCCAGGGAGAGCAGGATGTATCAGCTGTTGCTGCTGAAGAGAGGCAGAGATCGTAGGCACAATCACTCCAGCTCCCACCTTGCTGGCAGAAGCCCACATGGAAGTTACAGGAGGTGACTGAACCAGCATGGGGGTCAGGCTCTGAAGGCAGTCGCACAGCTGCCAGCCAGTACACAGCCCAGATTTGAGTGCTACTTGAATTTCCCAGAGCGGTGACAGCTGGAACCATGACACATGGTGGAAAGTAGGGAACACATTTCACTGCTCTCTGCCTCTCCAGGTAACAGAAGACTGCAGTGGTGTTGTTTCTGCTGACACCACATGCAATTAAATACGAAGGGAGGGCTAACTGGCTCCTACGTGGCCCAGTTATCTGCTCCAAGCACCCATGTCCAATCGGGACCCCCCACAGTCCAGAGCCCTCAGATTTCAACATCACTCTCCTTGTCGTTATCGTGGTCACCATCATAAAACTCGTTGGCAGCTTCAGGCCTGGAAGAAAGACAATCACCATCAGCAAGGAGAGCCCTGGCACCCTTGGGGCCAGAGAAGAATGCCCAGGTCACCTGCCAAAGGTCAGAAGATGCCCTGTACCCAAACACCCCATGAAATGTTATGTGAGGAGACCACACATTTCTACAGAGGGGCTCCCTGGATAAAGCTACAGACTCAGAAGTAACTTAGTATCTGTTCTGGGAACCAGATGGTCTCCAGTATGTGGTCTGCCCATCAGGGCAAGGACAGAAAGGGAAGCCCCTTTCTCCAGAACAAGATCTGGTACCTGCTGTAGTTTTCCTCGGAGCCTCTTTCCTCTGGATCAGGCTCATCTGTGCGATCGTAGCTGAGCAAGTCAGAAGGAACATCATGGATCTGCACACTGGGAGCATGGTTCAGCATTTTCAGATTCTCAAATATTGTCTGCCTGATCTGATCCAAGTACTGCATAGAGAAAACAGAGGGATTACCACAGTGATATCTGGTAGGCTGCAGAGAGCCACAATTGTTAGCACTGCTACTTGACTGCATCATCTATGTGGTGGCCATGAGGAAAAAGATTATGCAAAAAGCTATTTATCATAGCAGAGGAGGTGGGAGAATTAACTCAATCATTGATACTCAAACACACAGAAAATAGGAAGACAACCCAGCAAGGTTCTCAAATGCTCTGATACTTTCTGACATTCCAGAAAAAAAGTTCTGCTTGTTTTTTGTCAGTTTTCTGCCCCACAAGAATTCCTTGCCTGGGCTTTACCTGGACTGAGCGCCAAGCACAAGATTTTGGAAATACATAGCTGATACTGCAATGAGGCTGCAAGCACTGACCTGCCTGGAGTTCTGATTTTCAATCCTTGTACTGACATCAGGATGAAGGGTGAAGTCTGGAGCGAAGTATTCAAAGTACTCTGTGATGGAACAAGCAAGAGTTGCAACACAGAGGAAAGGGAGCCAGCCTGCACTGCTCTGCAGAGCGCAGAGCTCGCTTTCCCACCATGCTAGGAGTGATCAGACCCTAAAAAGCAGTGATGTACAGCTCTGCAACTGCAAGGAATTATATGAAACTTAACAGAGTGAGCAAAAGTAACACTCAGCTCACTGAACAGGAAACAATTCAAATTAGATGACACAGTAAGGGTGTGTCTGCCCAGCAAAGTCTACAGGTGAGTGGTAGGAGATGACTAAGGTCGTCTAAGCTCAGAAAGCGCTGTCACTAGCCCTGTTTTTATCTCTGTCAAATGCAGAATGGAAGTGTTAATTCTTCAACTGATATAACATACTTTAGCTCAGCTAATGAGGAAAAAACCAGGACTCAACTTACCACTGTATGGGAGCTCTTCGCTAATTGCTTCATCTACAAGCAATGATGTTTCATAAGTCCTGAAAACATGAAATAAGATGAGCTCAGTCCAGAGAAAGCTACATGGTACATGCAGGGACAAAGCCCACAGCAATTGTTTAACCAGTGACCTTCAACTAGCAGAGAAGAGACTCACCAGCATCGTGCCACATTGCGGACTGTGTAACCACCTCCTCCCAATACCAGCAAGGGGATGTTGAAACTCTTTACATACTCCACGCACTCCCTAGAAACCCCAAACAAAAAAAATGACAGAACTGTTAACTGCAGCACACTCATGGGTCAGAAATGCCACCATGAACTCAATCACCACCACAGCTGGTGTGATGCACAAGCCTCAACCACATGTTACTCTGAACCACCACTCTGCAGCACCTTGTACAAAGCCTCATTCTGAGATCCTCTTCTGTCACACAAGAGTTAAAAAAAACCCCAAAACTGCTGGTATTGCTGGAAGGTTGAAGTCAAAGCTCAAGCCTCGAAGCAGAGGACTCAGAGCCCTTCAGACTAAAGGACAGTCTTTCAACTAAACTGCTCTGCCCCAGCCCTGCTGTACTTACCCATGTCCTCTTATACTGAGGTTAAAACAACCCAAACGGTCACAACCCAGAGAATCAGCACCACACTGGGGAAAAAGAACAACCAGATTTTCACTAGAGGCATTGCTTTGCAGGCACACATCACCATCCCCACCCCCCCTTGGCCTCCCTCACGCACCAGAGGTTACAGTCAGCATCTCAGCTGGGACACACCAACCCTGATTCCCCAGGAACAGAAGGCAACACATCAATAGCAGCCCCGTCCAACCTACAGCCTCTGAAAGGGATGGACATGTGCACAGAGCCTTGCTTCCTTACCTGCAGTACTATGCAGGTGGGCTGATAGTAATCTACCACCTGGTTAATGACTGGCTGGAAGAGGTGTTTATAACCTTTGGAGAGAAAAGTAGATTTGTCATGGCTCTAGAGCAGAAGAGCAGCAAACGCCTGGGCAAGGGGAAGTGGCAGGAAACACCTACTTTGGTCATCAATGCCATCTCGTAGAGGCACGTTGAGACAGTAGTAACGACCACTCTCTGCACCAACTTCATACATATCACCTGGCCAGGGAAAGGCAGGAGAGACAACAGCTTTAAGACTTCGGAGGTGTAGAAAGGCCAGATCTGGTTTGGTATCTCTTAATCTAGCTAGGATCCCTCTTTCTTACAAATAAGTATACTTCTGTTCCTCTCTAATCGCTTTTCCATGCCCTTTCTTCCGTCATTTCTCCCCACAGCTACAATTTTGTGATTTTACACTTTCACACTCCAGCAGAGCTTTCAAAGGATTCTGACGTAAGGCCAGGTTCACACTGTAAGGGAGAATATATACCTGTACCAGGAAAGAAATAGTTCCCATATTTATGAAATGACACTGTCATGACACGGTCTGTCAAGTAGAAAGCCTCCTGCACACCATCTCCATGATGGATGTCGATATCAATATAGAGAACACGTGGATGATACCTATTGAATACAGGAGGAAAACATCATTACTCTCTGCATCACTCCCAACCTCACTATTCCCCACATGCCTCAGTATCACCTGGCACTCTGAAAACCACCACCACCATCTTTCCCACAAGCCCACTTGCCAAAAGAACTCACCTGTCCCACCTGAGGCGTATCAAATGGTTTAGATATGGAACATTTGTATACAGTCAAACATACTTCACCACTAAAACATTTTTTTCTGATGTGCTTGGAAATAGACATTAGAATAAATGGTTTTCAGATGGGGCCAGAAACATCTTGGAAAGCACATGATGAAGAGAACCTATTGTAATCACCTAGGTGTTAGAAAGTTGCAGATTTTCATTTCCTCTACAAACAACATGCTATTAATCTTTAAGAGCTCCAATGATTTTTACCAAGAAATTAAAGGTAAGCTAGGCAAGAGGGAGGTAGGAACACTTATTTCCTGCATGTGCCAGAGTACTGGCAGCACTATGTCCCAAGAACATCAGGCTGGACTGCATTTACTGAAGAAGCAGCCTGCTGGGTCACAGAGGGTGAAGAAAGGAAGATCATCACAAGTAAATGCACTGGGGTAATGGCCAAAGCTGATGTGCTGTCAAGCACTGGAGACATGGCCCTAAGTCATCCCTGCCTGTCAGCTCCAGAGCTATCTGCTCAGATGGAGAGGACTTCAACTTTTCACAGGGAAATACTGAATCTGGTCAATCCCCGAAGAACAGGGGATCTGGCATCCATGACATAACTCTAAGGGACCAGGGAGGGACCTGGAAAAACAACACAACATCGAAACAGAGAGGCAGAGCCTGTGGCTAGTGGCTTGGAACCATGGCTTTAAGCATGTTTGCAGTGACCTGATCAAACTGGTTGATGGTGCTGACCCATGCCGATTAGCAGACCAGTATCTTGCCTCAGTCTCCCAAGACAGACATAAACTACTTAAGATAGCCCAGATTATTCATCCCATACACAAATGACAGCAAGGAGAAAAAGGGGATGCATACACACAGGCCTTGTACACTGGTAAAGGTAGAAAAGAACATAAGAGCAGAGGAACCACAGTACTCCCATGGTGGGAAGCAAACTCAGGTATGCAGCCACCTGCTGCAGAAATGGTTCCTGAAAACAGGCAACAAAAGAACAGGGACATATTATACTCTCCCATGAGGGGTAACTGGGCTGTTATTTGAAGCCTCTGGCATAGGGGACTCATGTGAGACTGGAAAGTGGGTGTGAAGACCTGAGGTTCAAAACACAAAACAGGGAAGACTGGCAAAGGGAAAGGAGGTACAAGTACACCCCATAAATCTGACTCAGAGCGAGTAGGCTTGCCACCAGTCATGTAACTATGGACTGGTCAGTCCCAAATCTGTTTTAATTGCATAACATCTTGTCTCAGATTCAATGACAAGGAGGGCATTTGAGAGTATAAAAAACCCCCTCACATATTAATCTAAGAAACAAAAAGTACTTCTGTAACTCCTCCTCCCATTTTGAATTTATTTTTCATTTTCTAAAAGGAAAAAAAAAATCCCTCTTTCCTACTCAAAGAGTCTCCTTTGATCATCCATGCATTGCTTAAGTCCTGTCCTTAAGCCACTCAAGCAAATCAAGAAAGATTTGAGTCATTTAACTGTCTCCAGTGAGCTGTAATTTGCATTTACCTACAAAAGGTTCACTGTGGCAAAAACGATGAGACTCAGGAGACCCTGAAATGAGTATTTCACAGATGGATGAGAAATGGAATTGAAGAACGCTTCTGTATCCCTTAAGCTGCACGCAACAAAACTGGTCAGATACCCCGATTCTCAAACCCCGCTTCTTGTGCCTAAAGAGGATGCCAAGACAAAAGCCACGTTGTTGGCCTTCCTGGTCTCTAGAAAGGCAAACGAGGTGGGGAAACAGAGTGAACAGTGAAGCAGCAGAGGGAAACCACAGGTCAGCCAGGACAGCCCTGCACTTGCCCCATGTCCTTACTTGAGCAGCTCCAGGATGCCAATAACTATGTCATTAACATAACAAAATCCAGAAGCCTGAAAGACAGAGAAAACCAAATAGCATTAGAACAGGATCAGCACAGAGTCTAGGCCTCAAAAAGACAGAGGAATATGCAAATTTGCCTCATTACCTCAAACTTTTTGGCATGATGCAGGCCCCCTGCCCAGTTTATTGCAATATCACAGATCTAAGAGAGGAAAGATAAAGTTTAAGGTGACAATGTGGTAACAACCTTTCACCCACTTGCTCAGTGCACCCACCTCAACCTGCCCAGCCCTGCGGCCCATAAACACCCTCTGGCCTTTCCTTCTGCTACACAGGCCTTTCTAAAGCTTAGCCCAGCCAAAAGCTTCAGCTACATTGTGTCCATACTGGATTAGTCCTGTGCTCTACATTCCTCATTAGACCAGAAAAGATCATCTCCCACCACCACTGCTCCCCTGCCAGCCAGCAGCAGGCAGAGCACCTGGCACATACAGTTTGTTTCTGACTTGTCCTTTACACTCATTAGACCTTTCTCAGGTCTCTAAAAGATTCAAATCTCTGTGGGGTTTTTTTAATACTCTCTCGAGGGGCCCTCTTCTTCAGACCTTCTGCGTGCTCTTATTTAGTGCATTTTCATAGCAGAGACCTAGCAGCACCTTCAAAGTCTCCCAGCAGTCAGTTTCACTAAAGACCCCAGGTTTGTTCTACAGCACCAAGAGTACTTTGTGACTTCATCACATGCAGCATTAGTGTTATTGGACTCCCTCTGGAATAAACATCTACTAAATGATTGCTTCTGACAGTACAGGAATGGTCCCAAGCTTAACAATCCTACAGCGCTAGGTACTTCCACTGCAACACAGCAGCACTTGCTATGTTGTTTTATCAAACAAATCCATAAGGTTCTCCTTAAACTGAAAACCAGCTGGCTTACACCTGTGTTTCAAAAGATAAGCCCATCAGCTCAGTTACCTTGTTGTTCAGCTGTGTTGCTCCCTGCAGGGAAGCGCCAGTATAGCGAGAGCAAAATTCAAAGAGGCCCGGAAAGACTGGGCTGAAAAAGAAACCATGATTCAAAAACAGGACACCTTCTCACTTCTCCCAATTTCTCCAGAGCAAAGCCAGGAATAAAACTATCCAGAGACGTTACCTGAGCAAGATCACAACTCATTCTCTGTGGAAAGAGTTAATTTGGGATCACTCTGACCCTGTTTATAACACACTGAGTACCAGCAGGTGAGCAATCTGGCTGCAAACACAATGGGAAACTCAGGGAATATGATAATGATTACCAAAGCTTCCAAGCTCGTCCTGAAAAGGCTCCCCTGCTCATAACGCAAGCCAGTGTCAGTCCTGCAGCCCCGCTGACATGTGGCCAGAGCCAGGACATCAGGAGAGGGGAAGATGGTTCTGCCCTGCACTATCTACCTCCCCTGTTACCTGGAAGATCCTGTCCCTCCTCTGCTTCCGAGCGCACAGCCCAGCCTGCAGCATGCTGCAACAATAGATGAACGCTGCTCTAAGACAGCGCTAAGGTCTGATCCATCCCACGATGAAGAGCCAGGAGAGTACAGAAACACAGGACATGGAGCTGCTGCGGCACCAGCTTCGTGGCATCATGTCATGCATTTCATTCACAGACAACCAATGGCTTAAAGACTGTGGGGTTTTATTTTCATTCTCATTTCTGCTAAGAAGATGGTTTCTGATCATCAGAGCAGCAAGGTTACAGAACAGTATTCTGATTCTCAGCCTAAATACTAAAAAACAGGCTACACTAATACCTTCTTGGGATAAAACTGTTCTCTAGCTAACATAACTCCTCCTGTGTTAGCACTTACAGCTTTCCCCCTCTACAGAATATAAGAACAATCTTATACTCTGGCAGCCCTTACAATCATCAGACAGACATGGCATACTGCCATTTCCTCAGTCACCCGTGGAGCCCTTCCACACATTTCTTTCAAGTTTCACCTCACAAACATTAGATTGGAATTGAATATTCTCAACAAGATCTCATGTAGTTTTGTACAGAAAAATTAGTATCTTCTTAGTTCTACCTGAAAATCAGGCTCTCAAAGCTGTCTTGAATTCAACATGCACATATTAAAGTAGCTAAAACGACAGGCAATTATTTAAAAAAAAACCAGTTACCATGTTCAAGAAGAACTGGAGGCTCTGCAAGAACAAGCAGAGATACAGTCTCTAACCCAACAGGATTACAGCCTAAATATAGATCTAAAAAGGAGGACTGCAAGATGCAAAGAGATGAGAAAGGAATCAAGAAGGTTCCTGTAATCTGATATACACAGGAGGGACACACACTTCATTCTGGTTAAAACTAAATAAGCAATGGGACATTCTGAAAGAGCTCTCTGGATATGACATGAGCAATGCAGGAGCACCCTTTCTGATGGTGGGTTTGGAGAAGGCACAGAGCACTTACCAGTCATCACCCACATTGAAGGCATTGAGGCTCTTGGTGAATCCCTGCATGTTGTTGGGACTCACTCTCTGCAGGAAGTCTATGTAGTCCTCGGAGTGGAATCGGCACATGTCATGCTGGGATGCCTGGTACGGTTTGAAAACCTGCAAGAGAGAAAGGCAAGATTTATTTCCCATCCAAACACGCACTTGCTTTGGCTGTAAGAAATCTCAAGCTAATTGACAAACAACCTGCACGAGGTACATAAAAAAATGTTCCAAGATATTGGCTTCCTGACATTCATGTTCATTTAAATTCAACAACTTGCTCCATGAAGACTGCTTTCCTACCCATTTTTCTCTTTCAGCCATAAACCTGTCTCCTGCCTCTCATAATAACTGCAGCTCTCGCCACATACTCTCTAAATGCCTTCCTCCCACTGCACACATCGCCCCTCCTTGGGCAAACCAGCAGAATAGAACAGTTGAGTTCAAACTACAGCTTTTTCTTCACTGGGGGCACTATTCCCTTATAAGTCACCAGCTTTCAGACAATTTTAAGACCTTGATATAGGGGTAGTTTCAGTCTCTGTCAGATTTGGCTGTAATAGGCTGATACGTTGAAAAGTTATTTGGAGAAAGCTCACAGACAGATGGGAAAGTTGCATAAATATCGTTTCCTTTGGAGAGCCAGCAAAAAATAGTCAGGGAACTGGATGGATTCAAATTAAAGATCTTGTGACAATACAGGCTTGCCAGTTTAGCACTTAATGCACATATCTAAATATACAGGAAGTTAAAAATTAATACCACATATCTGACAAGATGAGATTAGTTGCACTGAAATCAATAAGAGATCTTTTTTGCGTTTCCCAATTTCTCTTAATTAAAGCATGTATGTTTTCTATAAAGTGGAACACGGAAAAAAATAGCAAGATGCATGAGCTTGTCCCCAAAGGGAAAATTTATCAGGGCAACTGCACCAATGCACCTGTTTCCTGGGCTAAGCAGGAAACATGTTAATTTTCAGAGATGCAATACACCTTAACAAACCCATCATCTCCTTTCCTGAATGGATCTGCATTTGGTACAGCGTTTTTCACATGGATGTGTGGGGTTCAGTGCTTCTCAGAGGCTGCTGCCTCTGGCAACTCAAACAAGGAGGATGAAGCAACTCACAAGCAGGAACCATTAGTGCAGCTGCTAAGGGTGAAGGCAAGACTTATTCCCCAAGAGGGCTCTGCACAGGTACCTCCCAGGGATCCAGACGGTTGATTAAATCAAACAAGACCAGAACTAATGCTAAAAAGTTGTCACAGAGAATAAATAGCTCTAAGCAGATATCTATAAGCTCTATTGGACAATAAAAAGTAGGTATATGTGAATCAAAACAGAAATGAGGGGAAAAAAAATGACAAGACATTTGAAGACAGATTCAGCTGCTGACAAAAGAAACCTGCCTCTTTCACCCTTCGCCCTGCTCCCAGCAATCCCACCCACCTTCCTAAGCAAGCTCTGGCACTCAGCCCCCTCTGCCCCGTTTTGTTAACTCCACAGAAAACTCTCCTGGCTTTGCTGGGTTGTGGTCACAGCAGTTCACGCAGGGATCCAACAGCTTCCAGACACAGCACAACAAAGGCAGGGGGGAGATGCAGCGGAGGAGCAGGGAAGGTGAGCAGTGGGACAACTCTCCTCCTTTCGACAATGCCAAGCCTTGATTGGCCGCGTTCTTGTGTGCCACAGCCACAGGTAAGCTGGGAAAGGTGAGAAGAGGCGAACCCAGCTTGACAGGATAGCGGCCTTTTATTTGGAGGAGGCAGAGAGGGCGGATAATGACGTTACCACAACACAAAGTTAACAGGACCTTTTATAGTCACAACTAACCATAATTCCCGCTTTTATTTGCTTGTAACTTTGCCAGTCACTGACTGTTCAGGATGAAGTTTCCACTGAGGTTTTCAGCTTCATGAAGGCATCTTGTGGAAAATATAAACCCAAAAAAAAGGGTTTCAAGACTATAAATGTGGTGAAGTGTACAGCTCTGCCTACTGCCTGATTCAGACACGGATTTGACATTTAGAAGAGTTATGTCAGAATACTCTTTTTGCTGTTTCCGTGAGAAAACCCCCAATTCTAGGGAAGTTATTCATAGAAGTTCATACATTTACTGTAAAAATCTGAAAGATAAACTCTGCAAAGGGTCTGCATGCCTTGAGTGCACTACAGCTGCATCCTCCTGCAAGCACAACAGCAGGTCACTGCAGCTGGATCCAATTTTGCTAGGGAATTACATGAATTACACAGGGAAGCTTTTCTTAATGTTTAAACATACCTAACTAATTTTATATATTACATCAAGGAACTGCTCCACTGGTCTATTTCAGCACCTTCCTTGAAAAATTGGTATTGTGCTTTAGTTTTGGGACAGCTTATTTTCTATTTGCTCAATCTGCATGTCTCTCACCACGGAAGCAGTTATGCTGACAGTGGAAGAGCTTGAACTTGAGCCCATGCCAAGTGCCAGGCAGCTGTATAGTGCTAGAGATAATGACAAAGTTGTGCAGCACAGACAGGCAGGGACAAAGCAGCAAAGATCTAGCTTTTCCTTCTGCCCAACTTGTATTGGTTTGGCTGTTCAGACTTTGCCCTAAAAAATAAAAAGAAGCAAAACTGAATTTTGTGCCTTGTCCTGCCCATACAGCAAAAAAGACACTGTAAACATGCCAGAATTAAAACCACTGGTTTAACCCTGCTCTCTTGTGTGCACAGTGATACAACTTCAACACTGACGAAAAGACTTTTTTTCGGTATCACAACAACTAAATACTTTGTCAGGTCTTTGAGGGCACAGTGAAAGTTGTTTACAGTTTTGCTTAATGCCTAATGGTGGGGATGAGGGAACCTGGGAAGCTGATCACAGTCTGGAGAAGCGCCTGGTCTAGCTGGAGACAGACTGGAATTTACACATTTCTGTCTGACAGCTCTGCATGATCACCATGTTTTCACAGCAGCTCATGATTTATCCCTGAAGCATGCTGCAGATGTGAAAACACATCATTGACACAAGTTGATCACACTTTCTTCTCCACAGCCTCAAAATAAACCTGGCTATTGCCAGTTCCTGGCATCCTTTCAATCATCTACAACTGCAAGCAACAACCCACAGTTGATTTCTACAATCATTTTGAGAGCACACACCCCAGGACAACCTCCGGGGTCATCCAGTTCAGACTCAGGAGTAACAGGGGAAGCAGCTGGTTTGCAGAGCATCATGAGGAGCAGAGCCCGATGGCAGAAGGGCAAGGAACAGATGTGGGATGCATGAGCACAAAGAAGGAGGACAAAGGAAGTCCTAACATCCCTTGTAGATCAGAGCAATGTCAGTTTTGTGCTTTTCCACCTCCCCTCCCTGTTTACTAGCTATGCATGATGATGACTGTGACAGACGCAATCTTCACCTCTTAACAAGGTAATTCCCATGAAAAAACACTGTAAATGCATGTGTGTATGCCCATATATGTACACAAATACATACATACATGTACATAAAAACAGAAGTGCCTGGAGCTGTAGCTTACAACATTTAGAATAACATTCTGGGTACAGGCCCTTCCCCAGGGCACATCGAACAGATCACAGGCTGTGGAGACAATAGGCAGCAGTTACACCCAGCCTCTGGATCAGATAGCACGACCTGGAATCGAACCAGTCAGCCCAGGAATTAAATCGCTCAGTGGTCCAAAACAGCTCAGAAGCAATCCTGCCACACCAAAAGCAAGAATAAGCCAACACGAGAGAAAACAAGTTGCCCGAAAACAATCAGCAGCTGCAGGTTGCATGTCAAAATGGGCAAAAGGCATCTCAAAAGGGACAGAATGGTACAAAGACTTTTACCATTTCCATTTTGATCTTGTATCATAAGGCATTAAGTTACAATGCCCTGTACTCCTGAGAGTTTTTCATTTGCTCTGTGCCACAAGAAAAATGAACATGGATTCTAGGGAAAGGAACACAGTTCAATCTCATTTGTACCACGTGAAATAAAATACTTCAAGAGAAGGGTGCCACACAGTCATAGTAACATTCCATTATCCCCAAACTAGATTGTTTCTTGAAAGATGAAGATTTAAGTCTTCTTTTTGATTATTGCTACATGCTGGTCAAGTTTTATCAGGTTTACACAGGCTAGATTTCCAGAAGAAAAAAAAATAATCTTTCTAATAGTTAGAACCAGAGCGCACTGTACTGGGTTGTGTGAGCTGGTTGGGCAACAAAGGCTTTAAAGAGCAGGTTGGACAATCACTGATCAGGTATGAGACGGGATTAGTGAACCCATTAATGCATCAACATGAATTAGCAAGCCTCTTGAGGGCTTTTTTTTTCCCCCCATGTTACTATTCTACAGTCACACAGTTCACAGTGGTCACTGGGTCCTTCCTAAAAGTGGCTAGACATTTCATGCACAGTCCCCAGCAGCACTGCTGCAGCTCCAGGCACACACCATCTGCACAAGTCTGAACAATAAGCTGACAACCAACAATGGTGCCTTCCCAGCCAGCTCTAGGTGGTATGGTGGGGGCTCAGGCTGATAAGAATGCCTGAGATCACTTAAAGTCTTGTCTGCAACAACCCTGTTACCTGCTGTGCCAAAAATGGAGCTGGCCAAGAAGCAGCAACACAAGAAAGCTCTGAATAAGATACTAACACGGGCCAAGCCTTAACATGGAGGCTACAACTGTAGCCAGCAGGACAGTGCACAAGTCTCTGGCACCTTTCACACGTGCCAAAGCCTAAAACGCCCAAGCCGCCTGGGACAGCCCCCTTTTCCCCCGCCGCCTGGGTCGGGGGACCCCTGCTAGGCCCCAGAAGAGCCGCTTACAATCATTTTCTTGTAGAGCCCGTAATGCAGGACCAGGCTGTGGGTCAGCGCCAGGCGATGCGGCTTCATGGGGTGCCCCGCTCCTGGAAGGGAAACAGCACAGAGAGTCATCGCGGGGGGAACACCAACCGCCCCCCATCCCCGGGGTCGGGCCCAGCCACCCCCCACCGCGCCCGCTCAGCCCCGGGACCTGGTGAGGGGATCGTCCCCAAGAAGCCCCGACGAGCCAGGGCCTCGCTGGGCCACACGCCCGCCCCGAGCCGGGACCGGGCCCAGCCCGGCCCCTCCACCACCGTCCCGGCTCTCCCCCAGCCTCGCCACCCGGCCCCAGGACGCACCATAGTGGAAGTTGCCCACGTCCGGGTCGTAGAAATAGGCCACAGTCTTCGCCATGGCGGAGAAGCCGGGACCCGCCGCCGCGCGTTCCCGCTTACGTCATCACGCCGCGACGGCGCCGTGAGCCGCCGCCTGCCGGAGCAGCGCTGCCTGCGACTG